CCAATCTTAAAAAGGCTTTCACCCAGCAAGGACACTCCTCCAGAGAGGTAGATCGCACGTTTGAAAGAGCCACCTGGATACCATGTGAAGAACTGCTGCAGTACAGAAGAAACCCCCCCACAAATCGCACACCCCTGGTTATGACCTATCACCCCTCCCTTGAACCTGTACGGAAAATCCTCAAAAAACTGCAACCCATATTAGAAAAAGACCCTATTCTTAAAAAGATCTTCCCAGAGCCACCCATCCTAGCCTTCAAACAAGCATCGAACCTCACCAACCTCATCACCAGAAGCAAACTTCCTCAAGCCCAGAACACACCAAAAGGATCCAGACCGTGCCAGGATAAGAAATGCAAAACCTGCCAACACATCTCCACCACCCCCACAATTACTACACCCCACAACAGAGCCATCAGCATCCCAGGATCTTACAGCTGCACCTCCAGGAATGTAGTATACCTCATCCAATGCACCAAATGCCCTGATGGAAAATATGTAGGAGAGACCAGACAACAACTGTGCACCAGAATGAACGCACACCGGAAATCTATCAAAGACAGAAATACCCAATTACCGGTGGGGGGCATAGTTCTCACAGGAGGGGGTCACTCTCTCTCCAATCTCTCAGTCCTGATCCTCAAGGGAAACTTATACAGCACTTCCCAGAGACGATCCTATGAGCTCCATTTCATCAACCTCCTGGATACTAGAGATCATGGACTAAACATAGACATTGGATTTTTGATACATTACAATCTGCCTGGCAACTGACTCCCCAGCCCCTGGCTTGTTTACTTTTCATTCCATCCAGGAAGAGAGCACACCAACTGCTGCAGCTTCCTGAGCCTGATGAAGGGTTTTTGAACCCGAAAGCTTGCTTAATAACTATTCTCCAACCATTTGGGTTGGTCTAATAAAAGATATCGAATTCACCCAAGGAACCTTGTCTGCCTCAGTGAGTTTGTGGCATTCATCACAAACCTTCAGATCAAGTTTTCTGCAGGTTAGGTAATCTTTCATTTTAATCAGGCTTTTTCTCTTAATTTTTGTTTAAAATCTAAGCCTTGTCTTGTATAACCCTGTTTGTTATACATGCTCTGCTATAGTTATGTTGCTGTGGTAACTTGTATACTCTGCTTTGCATAACATTGTTAATATGGATATTTAGAGGTTTGGGGAGATATTACCATAATAGAACATGTATAACAAGCAGGATTACACTAGAAATTGGGTGGCACACTTGGACCCTTTTCAGGGCACTAATTTGTTTTGCTATAATTGGATTATTCCTAATTCATGGACTTTTTATATTGATTAGAAGGTGCGCTAAAGAGTCTTGTAGACTTTCTATAGCTATTGCCTATAGAGATGGGACTGCTAGTGTCTTTTGGGCCAAAAGGAAGAATTCATTTTTGGACTAAGTATTGTTCAGCAGTGTGGTATCTGCTACAAGCTCCATGTCTTAAAATCTAGATAAAAGTGACTTAATTTCATTTTTGGTTATAAAAACTTTTAATTTTTTGATTTAAAGATCTTATTCCTCCCTTCAGTTACTTGAAAAGTCAAATCCAAAAGAGATTCCATTTGCTGAATTGATACACAGTAGTGTCCTACCACAATAAATTTCGAGTAGCCCACCCTAACAAGGAACCAAATCTGTTTTTGAATAAAATTATTTGAGTTCAGGGTTGTTGTTTTTTTTTAACAGACTTGCCAAAGGACTGATTAAAAACAGTTGTTTAACATGTTCCTTTTAGAAAGAAGTATTTTAAGCCACAGTTACCTGTGAGAGACTCAACTAATGGGACACAAGATGCAACTGTTGAGCTATCAGAGGGGTGTTGAGTAGAGAATCCTATTATGTTTGGCTGAAGCTGTTGTGTGTGCAAGAAGGGAAAAGGCATTCATTTATTAGAATCCAAATTGGCCTAACGCAGTGATTAAATGAAACTAAATAATTGCTGTTGGTTAAACTAAGTTTATTTTTTCAAAATGTGTACATTTGAGTGTGAATTTCATGGGAAATAAATGCAGATATTGTGGCTCATTTTTCTTAAATGTTTTGAACCTATTATGAGGATTTCATTACATATCATCAGCATTATTACACTTACAGTAATGAACTCTGCCTTGAAATAGAGGCCTACTGAGAAGCAAATAAGCAGTATTTTCCATTGTTACAAAAAAAGTAGGTATAAATGCATACAAATTAACCCTTTGAAATACAAATTTAGAAAGTTCTGACTGCAAACAGTTTAACTGTGTGGGTAGGATGTTTTAGTTGAATTAGTCTTAACTGCTAAAGAATTCTGTGTATTCTGGAGCCACAGCTTTTAAGATGGATTAAAAAAACCCACTTTTTAAAGTGTAAATATCACTTGTGTTAGGTACTGCCTGAGGGCCCACCAAAATTCAGGCTCTATTTTGCTAGGTACCGAGTTAATGCAGAATAATTACAGTCCCTGTTCCAAAGAGCTTAAAATTTAAATGGGAGAAGGGTATAGTACAGAGTGAAGAGTGTTATGGTGGCAAACCATGGGAGATGAGAGACAAGTGTAGAGTGAAGCTGAAGTGAGAGAACTTTTGAGGGTGGAATGGGGTGGAGAAAGAGGAGTTGAACCAAACAGCCGATTTAACAAAAGGAAGGGAAAGTTCAGTCACAACTGAAGTAAGTTCTATGACTGTCTGAAGGTCCCTTCTTTGGCTGCCTCTGCTGCTCTCCTACCAGCTGGAGTCTTGGGCTGCAAACTCTTTTAGTTTTCCTCTAAGGCAATGTGAAGGAATAGCACTACCTGGGTCTTTAAGAGTGGGGTTGGGATCTTCCCCTGAGAGTTCTGGGTCCAGAGGGAGATTCTGGGAGGAACTGTAAACTGCTCAAAGAAGGCTATTGCCAGATGTTTTCAATAAACTGGGATATTGTGGGGATTCTCTTGTAACAACTTCTGATTTTAAAATATTGGAAGATCATTCATGTTGCAGAAGACTTTCCCAGACTTTGTGGGTGCATAGATGCAGCTACATTTCCCAGCCCAATACAGGAGGAGTTCCTGTCAACCTTTTTGTGTTTGTTTTGTGTTTTTGCAGGTTGTGGGCTGCTCATTGCAGAAAGATACAGCTGAAAAAGGGTTAGCATCTTTCCATTCAACTTTGTCCTGAACTTTTAAGTTCCTAATACTGTTTTTTGTTTTGTTTTGTTTTGTTTTTAAACCTGTTGGGCCATTATGTGCATTCCATGGGGATTCGGGGGTCATGAGGAAACTGGAAATAGTAGACACAGTACCTATCCAGAAAGGACAGGAAAATCATCTGGTTTTTTTTATGTAGCTATTCACACAGAGTTTATATAATAATACAACTAAAAGGGGAGGAGGCTGTGAAATCTTAATGCTTCAGAGTGGCCTCGTTATTGCAGTGTAGATAAAACATCACTGCTGGAATGGTGATGAGCTGCATTAGTTAAAAAATAAGTTCACTTTTTAAAGATGCTCTAAAAATTCATGAGTTTTGGCAGGGGATGGGGCACATTTCATAGCTTAATAAAGAGCAATCTTCTGTTCAGAGACTTTTTTTTAAAGCTGCTGAGTTATTACATAGAAATAGACATAAAAATGCAAATACACCTAAACCTACCTAAGCACTAAAGGCAAATACATGTTTAGGGCCCAAAGCCTATTAAATGCTTTACAGGTAAAGCTATATATGTGGTCCTTCCCTGCCGTAAAGTTCTTAGGGCTTGTTTGCACCAATAAATTGACCAGCAGAACTATATTTGCATTGCTGTGCCAGGGTAGTGTCAGTACCAGGATTCTTATGTGGATACCCCTCACAAGACTGCAGGTTGCTTTATTAGGAGATTTCTCCATATGGTGCCAGAATAAAATCATTTTTACTTTGGAATAGTGTTTACTCAGGAAGCTAGACCATTATTATAGTTCTGTCTGTCACTTTTCCTTTGTAGACAAGACCTTTAAATTCCAATGGCAAGTAATAGAAGGATAAGGTGCAACAGGAAGCAATCAACTGAGTAATTATTAACAAGCTTCTTGTTAATGGTGCAATTTTGGTGTAGTCTCATTTTCTAATGAAGAAATTAGTAAGTTTGATACACTTTCTGTTGTTAACGGGAGTTTTAAGAAGGGACTTCAAAGGAATTTTCCTCTTGAAATTTGGGGATAAACAATGTACAGTTCTTTCGCGCTCTTAAATTTTTAAAAATATTACTGTTTTTATTCAGATGGATCATCTAATCATGTTTACAACTATCAGCCATGTGATCATCCACGTCAGCCCTGTGACAGCTCATGTCCATGTGTGATTGCTCAAAACTTCTGTGAGAAGTTTTGTCAGTGCAGCTCAGAATGTAAGTAATAACTTGGAAAGGTGTTTATAATTGGAAGTCTTTTCAGTCTTACTAGTTGATATGTAAACTCACTACTGGAAAAAAGAAAAGGACTACAGATGGACAATAATGGCCTTATGCCCTTTTTGGCTGTTTTATAATGCTTTCAGGGCACTTTACCAAGCTATTATACTTGTGGGTTACCTGCTTGGAGTTTTTTGTTCAGAATTCACAGGTGGCACAGTTTGTCTGAGAATTCCACGGCAGCATTACAGAAAGTTGAAATGTAGTTGCCTGACGTTTTTAAGATCTGGTTGTTGAAGCATATAAATTAAGCCCTGATCTTCCAGCCATTTAAGTGTATATTTCAGTGGGACTGCCCATTTGTGTAGAATTAAATACATATATTTAAGTGCTTGTAGGATGGGAGCAGTATCTGGGTGTATCGTATTTCTTTAGTCAGGCCTTACAAAGAAGCTACTGTACTCACTTTTCTGTTTTTGAAGCAGGAGTACTGCTTCTCTCTGTAAGAGACTATAGAAGAACTCACTCCTAATAACCACTGATGGGTGCTCTGTTTACTTTTACATTTGCTTTTAAGCATTGATGAATTGTAACATTTGGGAATCACAGGCATTTTGGCTAATTGCGGGGCATTCGCTTTGGTGTAGTGTAGAGGTTGTTAGTCTGTTGTTCTTAAGCAATAGTTTATAACCTTTTTTTCCTCTAGAGAAGTGAGATTCCATGGCCCTACAGCCCCATTTTCTATTTTTCTGTCCCATGCCATATTCACTGTTCCAATCCGTGCAGCTCCTTCTGCTTTTCTTGGGTGATTTTTTTTCTTTACTTAATCATGTAGCATCAGTGTCACTGGAAGTCCCTTAAAGTTTGTTATGAAATCTACAAAACTACATTTACATCTGGGCTCCTGTAGTTCCAGGTCATTTTCCAGCCAGTGTTATCTTTTGTAATTATCTCATAGTTAAGCATTTCTGTCCTTTTTAGCTGGTTCCTCTAGCATCAGAATGCAAAACTTCTGAAACTTCTTTCAGCTTTTTTAAGGGACTTGTACTCTTTCAGAGATCTAAGCCTATGTAGCACCAGAGGCAGTCTTGATCTTGGCTTTGGCTTCAATTTGCAGCAGACGGTAGGATTTTTTTTTTCTTGCATGCAGCCATTTCTCTTACTGTTTCCATTTTAAAGGCCAAAACAGGTTTCCTGGATGCCGCTGTAAAGCACAATGCAACACTAAGCAGTGTCCATGCTATCTGGCTGTGCGTGAATGTGATCCAGACCTCTGTCTTACGTGTGGAGCAGCTGATCACTGGGACAGCAAAAATGTTTCCTGCAAGAACTGCAGCATTCAAAGAGGATCCAAAAAGGTGTGCACAGTTCTCCGGACAAACCCCTTCTTTTGTCTTGTGTTATGTGTTTTTCTGTTGACTGTCTGGGCAGGGGAGGCAGGAGAGGGGTTGTGTCTGAGTATTCCCATAACGGTGCTTGAAATTTTCCAGTGATTTCAGTGGCTAGCCAAAGGCCTAGCCTAAAACAAAGTAGCTTTTACCTGCTTTGACATTCAATTACCTCTTGTCGTAAGGTCCTCCCGCAACACAGGAATTTTTGTACTGCATTGGAGTAGAGCATCTGTCACTATCTCCTAGTACTAACTCCTGTGTGACTGTATGTAAACTCTTCTCTTGTAGGCTGCAAAACAACCTGTTGTTCTTAAGTGATAGTTATAAACCCTTTTTCTCTACAAGTGTTCCTAAATCTATTAAATTCCATGGTCTACAGCCACCATACTACCTTCTGCTCCCCGAGGCCATTTTCCCTAATGATCTCTTTATAGCCATGCTGCAGACACGCCTAAGCTAGCTTTGCACAGTAGGTCTGGAATGGAAGTGTTTGTTTGGCATGGCACCTGAGTTAATAAGCTCAGTCTCTTAGCAGAGCTAATTAACCTGTCCACAGCACTGTACACTTTAGCAACTGGAGCTGCTTGGTGCCAGGAATACTGAAAGGAGAGGGAAGAGTGCAATTGGCCAGTAGGCACTCCCGTCATCCCCATAGCTGCATTTATATCTTGCTAGTTGAAAACCGCTGCTCTACTCCATCTGCATGCGGTCAGAAAACGTAAGAACCGAACTTCTATTTGTAGACTTTTTAAAAAATGTCTTAATTTTCTTACTGCATTTTCTTGCATTTAACCTGCACCCTGCTTCCCCCCCACCAACCTCAACCAGCTGGGGAAAAATCAGGGTGTGCATTATATGCGAGGAAAAGGGCTCCCCATGGGTCTATAACAGGGGTGGGCAAAATGCGGCCTGGGGGCCAGCTGTGGCCTGCCAGGCTATTCTATCCAGCTCGCAGGGTCCCTAAAATTTTAGAAAATTAATATTTATCTGCCCTGGGCTGCCTGTCATGCGGCCCTCGATGGCTTGCCAAAACTCAGTAAGTGGCCCTCCGCCCAAAATAATTACCTGCACCTGGTCTAGAAATTGGGAGGGGTGGCCGTGTTAATGGATGCAATTTTGGGAGCAATGGCAATTAACCCTGCTACAGCTCCTTTTCCCTCCCCAAAATTTCCAGACCACAGGTCTGACCCATCACACAGCCTCTGACCTGGCCTATGGCTCCAGACAGCCAGTCCATAGGGTTGGACCTGGCGCACATTCTTGGAGTTAGTGTGCTGGATTGGGACCCAGTGCCTGGCCCCAATACCAGTGCTGGATTGGGCTTGCACTGTTGCATAGCCCCCAGCCCTGGCAAACCCCATGCCTCTGATACTTAATGGTACTGCAAGGTAAGAATCCCCTCTCCCATTCCTTTTTGCAGCCTTCTAAAAATAGTGTGCAAATTATATTCAAGGGCATGTAGCATGCAAAAAAACATGGTATTTTTATTCTGCGCTATGTATGTTTAATATATCCACATACAGTTCTGGTCCATCTTTTTTGGACTTAACCAATGAATTCCTACCTTGAAATGCTCTTTTGATAGCTCTGTGTATATGTCTTCCTTCATGTACAGTTTTCTTTCCTTCCAGCCCAACTTGTGCCTGTGTGTAGGTTACAGCTATTTGATCTTTGTCAGCTTGTCTCATCTCGGGGACATGATGTAGGCTCGAGGCTAAGCAAGTCAGGCTTTGTTTCTTTCTTTTCCCGCATCCAATAGCATTTGCTGCTAGCACCTTCAGATGTGGCAGGCTGGGGGATTTTCATCAAAGATCCTGTACAGAAGAATGAATTCATCTCTGAGTACTGTGGTGAGGTAAGGAAAGATGATACCATTCAAGCACATGCTTAATTGGTACAGTTCTACCAGCCCAAGTAAGAAAATGTTTTAAATAGTATTTGTGGAGCACAGTGGTATGTTGTTTCAACTGAATATAAAGCAAAACTGATTAATGCCTCCCAGATCAGGGTTTAGTTTCCAGCTTTACTACCAATTTTGAGGAATTACAAAATTCCTTGTAGCAATTTGCACCAAGTTTTACATATTTGGCCTTTGAAATTCCAGGGAATCTTAATCTTGTGAATGGCAGTTGTCATCAAAAATATTTCTTAAATTGGCATTTGTCTATTGAAAAGATATTTCATAAAATGCCAAGGCCTGTGAGGACAGGGGCTGGGTGGATCTGAAAAGCAATTGCAGTTCAAGCAAATCTGGGGCTTCAAGCAGAATGATTCACTTTGTCAGCCTAACAGGCTTCTAGGCCCCATGCTGTGTGTAGGAGTTAAGCTGTGAGGAAGAGAGCGCTAAGACCCAAAGCTGTTCTGAAAGGAGCAGAATTACAAAATAATTCACTATTTTGGTCTGATTGACAGCACTGCTTTGGCAGCATTTGGGGCTTGGCTTTTCCTTTATGGAATGGGGAATGGCTGAGTTGGAGTTGTACTTGTCTGCAAGATGACAACTGGTTGGCCATCCAGCCATCCTTTTGGTAGCTAGCCAGCAGAGTAGCATCTGTTTAAGACATTCTCAGCCGCCTTAGCTGCAGAATTGGAGTTAATATTGAAAGTGCACTTAAGAGTAAGCATGTGAATAGTTATGTGATGACTTAACAGCTGGAGCCACTTTAATGCATAGGTAGTGGAACAGAGGGCAGCATTCTTGGTGTTAGTTTGTTTTACATTTGTAACTATACTATTTGCTTTGTATGTACTGTTTATTTCAGATTATTTCTCAGGATGAAGCAGATAGAAGAGGAAAGGTATACGACAAATACATGTGCAGCTTTCTGTTCAACTTGAATAATGGTATGTATGTTGACTGACCATGCTAAAATTGGTTGTGATAGATCTTGAGCTCCTTCCATCACGTTTAAATCAAATGCAGAACTATTCACTTCGCACAAGTTTCTAATGTCAGTAGATGGGGCTTGCAGCAAAGGTGGAGAAGACTTGCATTGGTGTCTTGCCCTAGTCCATTTCCCAGAATGTGGAGGTTTCTGCACTGGCGACGGATAACAAAAGAGGTTTGGAGGTAGTCTTGCCTCATCTTCCCATAGCAAACTGGTAGGCTGCTAGCACTTTTCCCATGTGCATACTTCAATGGAAATCAAATGTCACCCAAACTGAATTTGACATCACACAATGCAACAGTGTTGATAAGACCAGAAACACAAATTCTTTAGTTCGTGCCTACAAAAAGTTATCAAAATATAAATGGGAAATTGTTATGCATCTCTCTTCATCATTGGTAGCTGCCACCGCAGTTTCAGGGGCTAGTTGGCAGCCAAGTGAGAGAGTTGATATCTCTCTCATATGACTATTTACAAAAAAAAAAGGAAGCCTTTATATGTGTATGCATATGTACATGTGTGTGTATAAAAGGTTAGTGCAAAACATTTTCACAAGCTTGCTCTCCTAAAAAGGAGAGGGATGTTTCAAAAATAGACACATCACACTATCATCCAGGCAGGAGACCAAGGTAGATTGCTTAACTCGAGGGTTTTCAACCCTGGTGGCTGGATGGGGTGGGGGCGCAGCTGTACCCAAAACAGCAGCAACGCAGGGTGGTGGGAAGTGGCTGTGGCTGCTGTGTGCGAGCTTCCTCTCCCCCTCCATGCCCACCCCTTCCCCAGGCCTGCTTCTGGGAAGCAGAGGTGTGGGGTGGTGGGTGGCAGCGCTCCATCCCTGCCCACCTGAACTTACCCCCTAGGGCCCTCCCAAGTACCCCAGGGGGTACACATACCCCCAGTTGATAACTCCTGGCTTAACTCCTAGTAATTGGAAACATACCAATTACAGGCAGCTTTGTCCGACTCCCAGCCCAAGACAATTTCTTGACTTTTCTGCATGAAAAGTCAACATCAGATATTTTCCACTGACTTTAGAAGTTAAATTTGCCAAAGCCATATAGCATGCTAGTGCTATAAGCTAGGGTCAAAATGGGCCAGGGGCCCTTCTTTTTTCTCTCAAATTGTATTTAGAGGCAACCTGTTCCAACTGTGCTTATATTCTTTTCTAGATTTTGTGGTTGATGCAACACGGAAGGGCAACAAAATTCGATTTGCAAACCATTCAGTAAATCCCAATTGCTATGCAAAAGGTAAATGTTGTAGTGTTTAATTGTTTTTGTATCAACTAAGAATAGATGGTAAGGCAAATGTTGAAATGGTGGTAGTAGCATATTTTAAGTACAGCTAGGTATGAAAATATCAGAGCACTAAGAACCTAACCATTTTTTTCTTTACAGTTATGATGGTTAATGGAGATCATAGAATAGGTATATTTGCTAAGAGAGCCATTCAGACTGGTGAAGAGCTGTTTTTTGACTACAGGTTGGTAGACTCAAATTTTTTTTCCAATTAAACCAGATCTTAAATATGGGATATGTAAGCTAGTGTTTACCAGTATAAACTAGTAATGTAATAGGTAGGGGTGGGTTTTACAAAGTAATAATTGTGCTGTTCCTTTTTCTAGTACAGGTGGCCTTGGTCTCGCACTCCATTGTGGGCTAACCAAACACACTTGAAGCAGACTGCTGTTCTAGTCACACTAGCGTGCATAGATTTTTAAAGATAGATTTATGCATGACTAGTCAGCATTGTAGATATGCTTGTTTTTCACTTAGTGACTTAGCACTTGGGCTAACATCCTCCAAGTATTTGCTCCTTTCAACACAGCAGCCCAGAGGGGTACATAAGGAAGTGCCCAGGCTCCCCTTCCAATACAGAGGGCAAGTTAAGTGCTTAAGGAAGGGATTCTCAGTTTGTAAAATGAGGGGGAAAAAAAAGCAATCTAAACACTGCTCTGGGGATTAGGGGCATGTCTGTTTGAGATTTGCTAGCTGTGAGGCTGCTTATTTTTCTTTTGAATTTGACAGAGTCAATGTTTTTGTCTCTCTTTATTTCAGATATAGCCAGGCTGATGCCCTTAAATATGTGGGCATTGAAAGAGAAATGGAAATCCCTTGATACCAGCTACCTCTTCTCTCTCAAACAGAACAGCTGCCTTATCTTCAGGAATTTCTAGTACTGTGGGCAATTTTAGACAAATAAAATGATGCAATTTGAAATTATAAATTTGCAAAGTACTGTAACAGTAATTTATAGTAACACATTTCAAAATCAACTTTTTATTGTCTTCTCACCAGCTGCAAAGTGTTTTTGTACCAATGAACTTTTGCAATAATGTGGTGTGGTACACTTTTTCAATCTTGAATAAAGGATACTTGAACTACAGTGTGCAGAGTACAGTTGAGATGTAATTCTGTACTAGACTGCAAACACTTTCTCTTCTTGAAGACTAAATCTTGAGAGAACTACCAATTTTCTGAAGACACTTTGATGTCCCCCCCCCATCCTTATAAGGTCAAATTTCATTTATAAACTCTTGGGACCTGTAGACCAATGCATGAATGTTAAGCATTGTTCTTAGCTGTCCTAGTTCAATGACTCTTGCTATGAAAAACACTAAAATCAAAATGTACTGACAAAAGAATAATTCAGGTGTCAAAGAACAGTAGTGCTCAATCTAAATGTTGTCATTGGTTAGAGCACCATCTAGTGTATTTTATGCATATAACAAGGTGAGCACTGGATTGGCTAAATGTTTACTTTGTCTGCATTAAGATTTTTGGCCAACCTGGATTTAAGATGCGATTAGCAGCTGTTATCACAGTTCCATATCAAAATGAGAAATCAACAACATGCAGTCAGGCTTCTTGTTTCACTAAATATAGATTCTTCTACTCCATTTTTAAATACAATTTATTACATGTTCTCTGTATAGCAAGTTCACTCAGTGTCCTGAAAAGATATCTTTACCCAAGAGACTCCTTGGTCTAAAGGTTGGGTCCAGTAGTTGGGATTTAAACAAGTAATTGAGGAAGAGTAAGTAACTTAAATATCTCAGACATGGAATAAAATGTAAGTAGTTATTCACCTTGTTCCTATGCAGTGCAGTAGTTCCTGCTTCATATGGAGTCTGCCTGTACCAGTCTAAAACGATGGGGGAATATTTACAATAAGTGGAAAGTGTAGCTTGGCAATAGATTATCTCACACACTGCTTTGTGGCAATTTAGTTTTAGTTTGCAAACCTATTTACTAGAAGTTCAGACTCAGTCTATAACGACTCAGGGAGCAAATAAATTCAGCAATTTTAACTATCCTGTCTTAAACTCCAATTAACACCCATATGGAGTAACCTGGGAACAGCTTGGGGCTTTGGCTCTGGCTTAATTCCACACTTGTAGGCACTAGAGCAGGGGTTCCCAAAGCTTGTGCCATGGGGCAATGGCACCTGCAAGGCACCACTTTGGGAACTGCTGCACTAGAGAGGGGAGAAGGGGATTAATTGAGTATGCCACTGTGCAACAAGAGCTGCACATGCTCACAGTGAAGCTTGGTTAGAAAAAGGTGTTTGGGGGAAACTTCATAATATCAGTATTTGACTAGATTATAAGCTAATGTTAGGAATATTTCACCCTTATTAACAAGAACTTTTGTGAGAAATGCCAACTCTTATGTGGTTCTAGCCACACTAGGATAGAAACTTGTCTTTTATTTTTAAGGGGGCCATACAGAGATGACATTAGCTGGCCTAAAACTGAAGTGTGAACATCTAGTGACCATTAAGGAAAAAGAACCCTAGGACTAAACTGATACCACTTCAGTGCCAT